GCCGCCGCCCCCGCCGCCGCCGCTGCCGCCGCTCGAGGCTCCTCACCCGCGGCCGCGCGGGGCGGGGATATGTAAATGAGCCAACGGTCTCCGCAGCACTGCGCCGCGCAGGCGCAGGACGCGGCCGAGCCCTTGTGCGCAGACGCACACCGCCGTGGCCTCGCCCCCTGCGCAGGCGTGCTGCCCGCTGCCTCGCGGGGACGCTCCCTAAGGCGGAAAACTTCCCCTCCGAGGTCAATGACGACGGCGAACGGCCCAGAAAAGGCAGCAGAGGCGCCTCGCTAGTGTGCAGCTCTTGGCTTTACCTGCAGTTGCGGTCACCGTTGGTTACTCCGGGTGCGACCTGCCTGGCTAACGGCGGCGGAGGCGTTGCCGCCCCATTGCGCGTGCTCGCGTACGGCGGCCGGAAGGGGACAGAGGCAGGGCGGCGGGTGACAGCTGCGCGCCCCACCCTTTCCCCACGTGGCTGCGACAACAGGGTGAGAGTCGGCGGCGACGGATCCCAGTCGCGCGCTGAGTAGGGAGTGGGCGCTGTGGGGAAGGGCAGGTGATGCGGCATGGTTCTAGGGGACTTGGTTTGGGGAAAGGAAAGAATAACAAGTCCCTGGGTCCAAATCCCCCCACTTAGGCCTGCTTTTCATTCATTTTATTTATTCATGGGGTACCGCCCTACGCCATAGAAGCAAGGAAGCTAAAGCGGACAGGAGGAAAAATAAGTGAACCAAGTCACTATAGGCACAGGATGCTTTGCAGATAATAATGAAGAGTGATGGGGTTGCTTTCAGGTTTGTTTTGTTGTTTTGCTTGGTTTTGCAGTTCTGGCGAGGGGACCCTGGGGCGCAGTGCTTGAGCTACATCTGTAATTTCGGTGTTTTTTTTTTTTTTTTTTTTTTTTTTTTTTTTTTTTTTTTTTGACAAGGTCTTGCTAAATTGCTTAGGTTGGCCTGAAGCTTGGGCCCCTCCGGCCTCAGCCTCAGGTAGCTGGAATCAGAAAGATTTTTGAGGGCCGGGGAGATGCCTCAGTAGAATAAGCGCTTGCCTGGCAAGCACAAGGGCCTGAGTTCGATCCCCGGTTCCGCAAAAAAAGAAGAAAGCTATTGAAGTTTGTTCCTTGGGCAGCTAGCAAGGATGAGAAAGAGGGTGCTAGTAAGGAGGCTAGAGGGCAGTGGGAACCCACTGCAGGGTTCTGAGCAGATGCCCGAGGTGACGGTGGCCTCCCTTGCCTCATGAAGGGAGGAGGGAAGCGCAGAAGTGGCAGGTGAGGCTGCGGGGGCAGGATCGTGAGTGGCCAGCCTGGAGAGCCCTGCAGAGGACTGAGGCTGGAAAGTGTGACATGCCTGTGGCCAGGCCCCGTACAGTCAGTGGGACCTCGCTAGGCTCCAGTGGGGTGTGCCCTGAGTCCAGAGCCCTGCTGGCCAACACTGCGGAGGTCTCTGAAACAGCATCCCTGCCTTTTTCACCTTTGGCCTCAGAAATACTTAGTGTCCCTTCCCGGGCTCCCTGCTCTCCTGGCTCTGACAGATGGGGAGTCTGATGCCCTGTGCCCCCCAGAAATCTGCTGGCCAATTGGCTTCTTCAGCACAGAGTAAGGCACAGGTATTTATTAAGCAGCACCTCTAGGCAGATCCTCTTTCCAGTGCTCTGTAGGGTCCTAGTAGGTCACCCTGCCTCATCCCTGAAGGCCTGAGACCCACAGGGCCACCCCTGCCACCCCAGGGACACAGATGGCACGTTCACATCCTCTGCTACCTCCCCCAGACAAATGTGTGGGCCAGAATGCCCATTTTCCATATGGCCTAAAATGACCCTGGGGCTTGTGCCAGGTTCCCATACCACTGTCATAGCCACCTCCTCTGTACCCCCACACACAGACTTTTTGTGTGATGTGTGATTTTAGGATGGACAAGAGAAAAAAAAGCCAGGGGCCAGGGATGTAGCTCAGTGGCACAGTGCCTGCCTGGCAAGTGCGAGGTCCTGAGTTCAATTCCCAGTACCAAGGAAAAAAAGAGAGAGAGAAAAAAAACCAAACCCAAATCATTCAGAGAGAGAAACAAATGTTCTTAAAAACAATATTTGTATAATTGAGAAAGCAGATCATGGACTACATATTAGAAAATAGTATCATAGGGCTGGCCAAATAGTTCAGCAGATTAAAGCTCCTGCTTAGGCAGATTCAGGGGCCAGGAGTTTGATCCCCAGGCCTGCCATGCGGGCCCTGCCCCCAGGGATGTGCTGAGACCAATTGAGACTGGGTGTGGCGCACCCCTGTAATTGCAGCAGTTGGGAGGCTGTAAACAGGAGGATCACAGCGAGTCTGATCTATGCAGTGAGACCCTGTAGACCCTGTCCTAAATACAAAGAAAAAACTCCAAAACCACCAGAAAATAGTATCATAGAAAGTATAGCTCAGGGGCTGGTGAGATGGCTCAGTGGTCTAAAGCACCTACTTAGAACAAGCTAAGCAAAGCACAGGGACCACGGTTCAATCCCCCAGCACCACATGCCAGCCAGCCCCGCCCCCTGGTGGGCTGAGCTGGCCACACACACACACACACACACGCATAAATAAATAAAATTAAAAAAAAAAAAAAAAAAGAAAGTATAGCTCAGTGGGAGAACACTTGCCTCATATGGGGCCTAAGTTTCCCTTCCCATTCCAAACAATAATAGCAATAGGAGTAACAGCAATAATGTTGTATCAGAGGCGAGTTTCCTGTCAGATTTCATCTGTAGCCAAACACAGTGCTCCACACTTACTTATAATTGCACCTCTCTGAGCGGATGAGGCAGGAGGATCTCAAATTCAAGCCCAGCTTGAGCAATTTAGTGACTTGGTAAAACCCTGACTTTGAAAAAAAAAAAAAAATTCATTTGTGCTGTGGAATAGAGCAGGCTCTTTTTAAATACATGCTGAGGTTATTAGGAGGGCTGTGACATGATTGTGGCGTTTTTAGTTACTAGAACATTGGGTTTGTTTTGCTTACAAAAAAATACATCATAGGGGGCCTGGCCTTAGCTCAGTTGTTTAAGTGGCTGCTTCCACAAAGCTGTCAGCCTCAGGTTGCTGTAGTTCGATCCCCACAACACTCCAGCCAGCCAAACCACCCCTTAGGGCATTTAGAGCAAAAAAACAAAAACAAAAACAAAAAAACATCATGAGTTTGTGTTTATGTTTCTAGTTCAGTATTTAGGAGTTCTGGAACCTTTCCTCCATCCTTGTTGACGTTTACTTAATGGTTAACATACATTATGTATGTTTTGTTCTGTGCATATGTCTCAATCACTTTCTCCTTGCTAGGACAGAATGCCTGATGCTGCAGCTTGGGGAGGAGAGGGTAATTTGGGCTCAGTGTTCCAGGGCTGGACGTGGCTGCAGTGTGCAAACAGCCAGTGGGAGGGGTTACTGGAGGAAAGGGCTCAGCGCTGCCGGCCTGGAAGAGAGAAGGGCCCCCGGTACTTCCCAGCCCCCGTGGGCCTGCCTCCTACCTGCACCAGCTGGGGAGTTTTGGGGATTGGTGGATATAGAGGCCTCTTATCCAGTCGGCTCCCAGAAGCCCCACCTGTGAACTAGCACAAGCCGATTCCAGAGGAACATGCCTAGCACCATTTCCCACTGAACACCAGCAAGCTTTTCATGTGCAGCTTAGACTCCCCGCAGGGTACATCTCAGTCAAAAGGTGGATGGTGCTCCACCAAAGATGGTTTGACTGAACAATTTGCCAGCATAGCAGTGCTTTGCAGCCAGGTGTGGTGCCACTTGGGAGGCTGAGACAGGAAGATCCACATGAGTTCAGAGCCAGCTTGGGCTGCATAGTGAGTTCAAGGCCAGTCTGAATTACATAGGGAGACCCTGTCCAAATAAAACACCAAGTAGTGTTTTTGTCACTAATGGATACAGAAGCCAGTCTGGAGGTCAAAAGGCTCTCTGAGTTAGGCCACCCTGGGCCTTGGGGGAGCCAGAGGGAGGTGGCACACCTGCCAGGCAAAGATCTGAAGAGTAAAGCAATCTGCTGAATGCAGTGATTTATTGAGCACTTCTTAGATTCACAAAAAGACAGAAAGGAGCTCATGCATGGCACAGGTGGGAGCTGGAGATGGTGCCCACAGTGGAGGGTCTTTCTTCCCTGAGGCCGGCACCCCTAGAGCATGACGGAGCAACGCAGAAGCTCACATCGATCTGGATCTGGAGATGGAGTGTCAGAGCTCATGGCCATCCGGGAGGGCAGCTGGGGAGCCAGCGGGGCCTCCCGTGTTCAGACAGGCGCAGCGCTGGTGGCCGATGGTTGCTTTGCGACGGGCAGCACCCGCGCAGAGCCCTGGTGCAGTCACGGGCGCCCTCTTGCCGCAGGGAGCTTGGTGCGAGCCGCGCGTGCAGGTCTCACACGGTGTGCGTGTGGATGGCACATGCTGGCCCTCTGGGGAATGTGTTTTTCTTTGTGGCAGAAATATAGTTTTTAGAAAACTTATTTTGTAAGTTTGTTGAAAGGGTCTAGGAAGGGCCAGCCAAATAGCTCAGCAGATTAAACAGCTGAAAAAAATAATATAATAATAATAATAATAATAATAAAATAAAATAAAAAAATAAATAAAGTGCCTGTAAGCAGGCAACAGGCACAGGGGCCAGGGGTTTGATCCCCAGGCCTGCCCTGAACACCCTCGTAGACTCTTCCCTAAAAATACAAGGGAAAAAAAAAAAAAGAAGGGGTCTAGGGTAGGTTTCCTAGGGCAAGGCCGTGTGGGAATCACACTGAAGGGCCGCCTCCTGGTCACCACATGGGCACAGCGGCCATGTGCTCATCACACATGTGGACTCGGAAGGAAGGAGGTTGGAGCCGACGTGCACCGGGCGGCCACTGTCCTGCTCATGTCTGCTTTGCAGCCCTGGGCACTGCAGCCCATGCTGAGCTCTGTCCCTGGCCTTTGTAGTCCCCTTTAGTCTTCGTTTTGAGGCAGGGTCCCACTAGTTGCCCAGCATCTGTGCTAATGTGCAGTCCTCTTGTGTCAGCCTCTGAGTGTATGGCACTGATTTTTTTTTCTTTATGAAGACATACAGTGCATCCTCAGTTGGACAATTGGACTTCCTTGGGCGAAGCAGTTCTTGTTTTGTTTTTTTGTGACAGGGTATTGCTTTGCAGTTCAGGCTGGTCTAGACCCAGTTTGTAGCACAAGCTGGCCTCAGACTCGCAGTGATCGTCCTGCCTCAGCCTCAAGTGTTGGGACGACAGGCATGTACCACCACACTACTTTTTCTTGGATAAAGTAGTGACTGGGCTGGGACCATGGCATGTGTGCTGTCCTCTTGGCACTCCGGGAGGCCGGCGCACATCAGGCCACCCCTCCTGGGCTCTAGATGCTGCATGTCCTAGGTGGTGGGGCCCGGTGTGTCGCATCCCCCCAGCTGGCCCAGTGCTGCTGCCTGTCCCACCAAGGCGTCTGTCACCTTCTCGGCTACAGGCTCAGATGGCCTCCCGACACATCACCCAAGAGACCTTTGATGCGGCGGTGTGCGAGAACATGGAGGAGTTCGAGATGGGGCCAGAGGAGGCCGTGAAGGAGGCTGTGGAGCAGTTTGAGTTGCAAGGTCAGGCAGTGGGCTGGTCCTAGGCCAGGGGTCCGAGAGCAGTGCAGGCCGCTCTCCCCGGGCCCCTGTCACCCCACTCCAACACTGATTCTGATGCCTGCTGGGCCCTGGGCTCAGGAAACAATGCTGCCTGCTTCTCTGCCTCCCCACAGCCCGGCTTAGGCAAAGAGTCTCAAAGGGGGTCTCCAGCTGTGGGATGGGTGCCCATGGAGAGCATGGTGGGGGCTGTTGGCAGCAGCATGGGGATTCTGGAGATGCCTACCTCAGCAGAGCCCAGGGCGGGTGGCTGGCGACAAATGCCCTTTCCTGCTTGCTCCACAAGGGAGGAGCCCAGACAGGAGGGAGTTGGGGTACAGCCTCTGAGGGGAGCCCAGCCTCTTGTGGGCTGCCATGGGACCAGAGGGACAGGAGTTCCAGGGAGGCCATGGGTGTCACCTCATTGCCCAGGCACAGCATGTGGGGACACAGCTCACTTTGCCACAGTCCCTCTGCCACTGTGTCTTGCTGGCTGGACTGGGCACAAGGGATACAGACTTGAGAGCTGGTAAGACTCTGAGAACCCTGGAGTGGAGCAACCCCAGCAGAAAGAACATGGGGTGGGGCTCTGAGGGGGCCCAGAGGGTAGCATGGCAGCTGGGTTCCCATGTCTCCATCTCCTTGCAGGCGTGGATCTGAGCACCATTGTGAAGGTGGCAGCCAAGGCCTCTGCTGATGGGGCCCTGGGGCCCACACATGCTGTGGGGCAGGTAGGGTGGGAGCCCCCTTGGGGGGCGGGGGGAAGGAGGTGGAGAGTGATCCTTGTCCTCCCAGGGTGCCCAGCCAGCTGGGGCCAGCTTCATGTCTAAGGTGGGTGGGACCCTGTGCCAAGACCGGGTGCTCTGTGCTGGTTGTCACCATGGTGAGTGGTGTCTCTTGCTTCCCCGAGAGAGGGGTACAGGGACGCACATCTGCATGAGAAACACCACGTGAGGCTGCCCCTCATGAAGCCAGCGCCGCCACACTTGGTGGCAGCATGCATTTGCTTCCACCCTCAAGGCTGGTGCTGGGGAGGCTGAGCCCAGGCACAAAAGCCGGAGCTTATTTTTCCTTGCCAGTATCCTGCCATGTCTTGCCTTGCAGAAGCCTGAAAACTGTTTCTTTCTTGTCCATTTCTTCTATCTTTTGCAAGTAAGGTGAAGATACCTACTGGAACTTGGTGCACTTGTGCATGCCCATAACCCCAGCACTTTAGGAGGCTGAGGCAGGAGGACTGCAAGTTTAGGTCTCGCCTGGGCAATTTTACAACCTTGTGAGGCCCTATTTCAAAACAAAAAATTAAAAAGGGGTGGGAGTGCAGCTCAATACTAAGGCTGTCCCCTTCTCTAGGCCCTGGATGACTTGCAGGAGGCCGTGGCTGGCTCGCATCCCCGGGAGGTGTCAGCCCACCTGGCCCGCATCTGCGAGCAATGCTGTGAGGACAGGGCCTGCCGCTTCCTGGCGGCCCAGAAGGGGGCCTACCCTGCCATCCTGGCCGCCTGCAAGCTGGCAGCCGCGGGCGATCAGGGCCTCCTGCTGCAGGCCCTTGGTGCCCTGGCAGCACTCACCGATGGCCAGCCTGACCTCCTGGATGCCGAAGGCCTGCAGCTGCTGGTGGCCACACTGGCTCAGAACACTGAAGAGGCTGCCCTGACCTGTGCTGGGATCCGCTGCGTGCGCCATGCCTCCCTGAAGCATGAACAGAACCGGCAGGCCCTGGTGAAGGCTGGAGTGCTGCCCCTGCTGACAGGCGCCATCGCCCGGCACGGCCGCCACACCGACGTGGTCAGGGAGGCCTGTGGGGCCCTGCGCGTCATGACCTTCGACGACGACATCCGTGTGCCCTTCGGCCGTGCTCATGACCATGCCAAGATGATCGTACAGGAAAATCAAGGCTTAAAGGTCCTTATCAACGCAGCCAAAGGTAGGAGCGACAGCCACAAGAGCCAGCAAGATTGGGGCTGTGCACCAGCTGTGGCCAGGGCAGTGTAAGCGGGTAGGGTGCAGCCCTCAGGGAGCATGTGTAAGGCTGGGGCTCTCTCTCTGAACCGCACAGAGAATCGGCTCCCCATGCACAGCATTGGGGCTTGGGCTGTAGGTGTTGTCTCCCAGAACTTGGTTCTGCCCACGTGGCGGGTGGACAGGAGGCGGTGCGTGCCCCTGCTGCTCTGGAGGACTTCCAGGCCAGCACTCACTGGCCAGGAGCTGCAGCCTGGCACAGGACTCTACTGGTGGCTACCATGGTGGCTCCAGGTGGTTCTTGGGTGATAGCCTAGGAACAGAGCTCCGGGATGGAATGTTGTGCCGCGTGGACAATGCCCAGGGCCCCAGCCCCAGGCCCATGGAGAAACCAAAAGGAGCCAGGCATGGTGGTCCACACATGTCGTCCTCCCAGCACTCTGGGAGGCTGAGGCAGGAGGATCCCAAGTTTGAGACCAACATGGGCAACTTTGAGGTTCCCTGCCAGAACGTAAATGGAATGTAGCTCACCCTGGTTCAGGTCTCAGCATGGTATGCACGCTAGCATATGTGCCTCTAAACCCACACTGTGTTTGCTTGTACTGGGCCATAAGCCCTCATGCGCTTTATATTCCTGGCTCCAGGATGACCACAGAGAGCTGTCACAGGTGGTCACTGGCTTCTGACCTCTGCTGTCCCTGCCTCCACTCCTCTCAGAACAGGCTTGACAGCCTCGCTCCCTGCTGCTGCAGGGAGAAGCAGTTTCTGTCCTCTGGCTCTGCTCCAGGGCCAGGCCCTGGCCATCTGGCGGGAGGCGGCCTGCCTCAGTTTCCCCTCCACACCTCTGGAGAGAATCAAAACAAGTCCTGACCATCTGCAAAGTCAGGCTGCTTTTCTAAGTAGTTTGCATCTTTCCTGCTTATTTATAGCAGCTGAAATTAGTCAGGCTTCTACCAGAGAGGCAGACTGGTAGCAAGTGTGTCTTTCTATGAAGCCTTCCTTCTTTTCCTGGCCATATGGGGGATGGCACCTAGCGCCTCACACGTACTAGGCGAGCGCTCCACCTCTGAGCTGCGCCCTAGCCCTCTTGTAGTCCTTTATTTTGAGATAAGGGCTTGCTGAGTTGCCTGGATTGCCCTTGAATTTGCCATCCTCCTTCCTCAGCCTCCTAAGTAGCTGCTCTTACAGGCGTGCACCACTGCACCTGGCTAATGTTTTAGCTATTTTGGTACCAGGGATTGAACTCAGGACTTTGAGCTTGCCAGGAAGGCTCTTATGCTGCTGAGCTATCTCCTGAGCCCTATTTATTTATTTATTTATTAGTACTGGGAATTGAACTCATGATCTGTGCTTGCAAGGCAGGTGCTGTGCCAGAGCTAAATCCCTGGCCCCTAACATTTTGTTTTGAAATACATTTCCTGCGTTACCCAACCTGGCTCACAGTTTGTGATTCTCCAGCCTCAGCTCCGGAGCAGCCGAGCATGTGTGGCTGAGGTTGGAGTCGATGAGCAGCGGCGCCTTCATTTCCTTCCTAAGGCCTTCAGCTGGCTGGAGAGGCCGATCCCCCTCCGCCGTGACACGCCCTGTGCTCCCAGCTGAGGATGACTTTGTGAGACCGTGTCTCAAAATAATATATTTTACAAGGGCTGCGGTGTGGCTTCCTCAGTGAAAGTGCCTTCTAGCATGTGCAAGGCGGCAGGTTCCATCCCCGGCAGTAGCGCCCTCCCTGCAAAAGGCAGCTGTAGCCTGTCTGCAGAACACACCACTGTACATCCTGAGCCCCAGGAGGGCTGAGCCCTGCCAGGTGACACTACCTGTCACTGACCTCTGCAGGGCATGACCTGTGTGCCAGCACAGCTGACCCATGTGCCCAAGTCAGTCTCAGTCCCTGTGCCCCCCTGTGGCTGCTGGTTGCACTTGGGAAAAGTTCCCACTGCACAGTCCAAAAAACTAATCTCCACTGTTGGCCTGTAGCACTATTCTGGTTTGGCTTAGGCTTGGTCTGGGCCTGTGGCACTATTCTGGTTTGGCTTAGATTTGGTCCGGACTTCATTTGCTGTGAGGTGGGAGCCGGGGAGGGCACAGCCTCTTGGCTCCTGCAGCCACCAGCAGGGGGTGCTGCAGGCTCGGCCACATGAGTCCCTAGTCCCTGACACCATACTGACTGCACCGCTGTCTCCCACAGCCTTCTCAGACCACCCAGGGGTCCTGGGTGAGCTCTGCAGCACCCTGGCCCGCTTGGCCGTGCGCAATGAGTTCTGCCAGGAGGTGGTGGACCTTGGGGGCCTTGACGTCCTGGTGACCCAGCTGGCCAGCTGCAATGACCACCAGGTGGGGCCCGCCGGTTCCCATTCTCCTGACTCATGAAGGCTCCTGTCCCTCTAGGTTCCAACCAGCCACCCCTTGCTGGAGCCAAATACACAGCCCCTCAGTGTCCTCTGCACCCATTTCCTAGAGGATGGGGAGCGGTGGGGGGGGGACAGTAGAGGGAGTAACTGTTGTCCCAGCCAGGGCCCCAAGCCCAGCATGCACCTGGGCCAAACTGGCCCCGCAGTGTCCCCAGAGCCAGGCAGGGTGTGTAGGTGTCCGGGTGACTGGGCCTCACCCCTACACAGGACCTTGTGAAGCAGGTGCTAAGTGCCTTGCGGGCCATCGCGGGCAATGATGATGTGAAAGATGCCATTGTCCGTGCCGGTGGGACGGAGGCTATCGTGGCTGCCATGGCCCAACACCTGGCCAGCCCCCAGGTACCTGCAGGGTGGGCAATGCAGGGCCCCAGCCAGGGCTACCATCTGCGTGAGGCCCCAGGCTGCAGCAGTAAGGTGGCTGGGCTCTGGGCTGGCCCTGGGGGCCTTGGATGACTGCCCACACCCCTGGAAGTTCCCGTGGGTCTGGTCCCTTGCGCCCCCCAGAGCTGTGTCAGTGCTCTTCTGTTATGTGCTGTCTTGCACAAGTGGCCGGAGGCCCCGTGGGAGCCACAGAGCCCCTGGAGTGTCTTGGGTCCGGGTGCCCAGGCTCTTGTGCTGCCTGCAGGTGTGCGAGCAGAGCTGTGCAGCCCTGTGCGTGCTGGCGCTGCGCAAGCCGGAGAATAGCCGGGTCATCGTGGAGGGTGGTGGTGCCCTGGCGGCCCTGCGAGCCATGAAGACACACCCTCAGGAGGCGGGCGTGCAGGTGGGCCTCAGGGCACAGCTGGAAAAGCCCCTCCTTGTCCCTGTCCCTGTCCCTCTATGCTCGGGGCCACAGGGCCTCCACCCTTCCCATCTCCTGAAACATGCTCTGCCCTCCCCAGCATGGTCCCTTTCCTATCCCCTTTTCTTTCTGTTTACTCATGGTTTTTTCCTTTCTCATGTTCTGGGGCGGGGGCTGGAACCCAGGTTCTCGTGCAAGCCACGCAAGCACTTTGCCACCAAGTTGCACCCCAGTCTTAGGGGCAGAGGGGACCCCGGCCCAAGCCCTGCCTGCTGTCGGCTCATACCCCCTTTCTGCAGAAACAGGCCTGCATGCTCATCCGCAACCTGGTGTCCAGGAGCCAGGCCTTCTCCAAGCCCATCCTGGACCTGGGCGCCGAGGTGCTCATCACGCAGGCGCGGGCGGCCCACCAGGACTGCGAGGATGTGGCCAAGGCTGCCTTGCGGGACCTGGGCTGCCACGTTGAGCTCCGGGAGCTGTGGACCGGCCAGAAGGGTGACCTGGCACCGTGACCCCAGCCTGGGGTGGCTGTAGTCTGGTGGAGTCACGTGACTTGGGAGCACTCACCTCCCTGCCCCATTGTTCTGTCATTGCCATGAGCACATTACGGGCAGGCACTGGAGGGGAGGCGTTAAATGGCCTAGTGCAGGGCCCCCCTCCCTGGGCCCCGACAACTGGGTGGGACATCACTGTGCTGCCCCTCTGGTGTCGCAGAGCCCGTCTGAGCATTTCTCAGGGGCAAAGCCACATCACCCGCCCGACTCCTGGCACTTGGCAGCCTCTGGCTCAGTTCCTGGCACTGCTGCCATGGGCCCCTGGGACCTGCTCTGGGTTTCTCACCTGTACATGGGTCTCCAGTGCCTGGCTCCTCTCAAAGCGGCACAATGTCTGATAATAAAGGTCGTCTCTGGACACTGGAAGGGGTTCTTCCTGGCTCTGATGAGCCTCATGGGGCAAGGGAGGGTAAGGTCCACGGAAAGCAGCCAGGGGTGTGCAGTGCCCAGTCCCTGGGAGACATTGGGGGCCAGGAGGGCTCGGCAGACACCCCACCTCAGGCCGTGAGCAAGGAACATGACCTCTTTGGACCTCAGTTTTGATCCACTAAATCAGGAATGGGTGACAAAGCCCTCTGAGTGCACTGCCACCTGTCTCCCCAGGTACTGCCCTGCATGGCCCCGATTGTCATGGTCCTGCTGGGTGGCTTTAGCACTCTGCTCTGGGCCTCAGTTTCCCCACTGTAAGATACTATCACCCAGGACCCCAAAGCCCACCCACCATTCCAAGTGTTCTAGGGGTCCCCAGGCAGCTGTGGCACTGCAGTCCTCTGTTCACCTGCCCTGAAGTCACGCTCGGAGGTCACAGTGTGGCTGTTGGGCAGCTGGTGTACCGTGTGGCCTGCTTGGTCTGAGCCTTGGGACTGGCCTCTTGATGGCCCCGCCTGCCTCCGGGGAGGAGGCTGCCCTTGATCCAAGTGCCTCCTCCCTGACCTCAGGAGATAGATCCTTCATGGGACACTCTTGATTTCCATCAGAGCGGCTCTGCCCACAGTGGGGTGGAGCACCCTGGCTGTGTCTCCTAGACATGCCCCACTGAGCCTCGCAGCAGGGAAGGCTCTGGCAGCTCACGGGGGGGGGGGTGTTTTAGGACCCTCATCCAGGAATCCTGCTGCCCCCCACCTTGCAGGAGCTCACCCAGTGCTGACTTCTGACTCCCCCACAGGCGTGACTTGGCTGGCCTTTGGACACTTGATCCTCTGTCCCACAGGGTGGGCCACAAAACCCATGCCCGAGTCTAGGATCCGACCTCATGGCCTTGTCCATAAAAACTAATGGTTCTGCCCAACACATGCTGGCCATTGATCTACCCCAGGACCTTTGCACAAGCCGGGCCCTTGACCTGGCACCCCCTTCCCTAAGAGAGCCCCACCACATCACCCCAGGTGCCCAGTCTCTTGACTTCCAACCCCTGGGAGGTCACTTGGGCCATGACTCCTGTTTGTGCTGCCCCTGCCACCCTTGAGCTTGCACCCACTACCCTGCTTTCCCATCTGTGTTGTTACCCCCTCACCCACAGCCTTACGTCCTCCCTGGCCCTGAGCCAGTGCTTCCAGGCAGTAGCTCCAGGGCGTTTGTTCGCTGAGGGTGCCATGCAGAGCCTGGATGGGGCTCTGAGCCCCTGGGCCCTGCTGGGCTCAGCAGAACTTGGTTCCCATGGCCCTGGCCACGTGATTCTGGTCACCTCCAATCTGTGGCCTTGGCTTTTCATTTGAACACAAGCCACCAGGGATTGAACCCAACTGGACCTCCTCCACCCCGCTCTCCTGCCAGCCTCACTCCCTTCACCTTGGCCCTATGACTTTCTGGCCTTCTGCCTTCGAGCCTGCGCCTGCCCCCAGCCGTGATGTCCAGTACTTGCTGGGATCCCCAAGTGGCTGAGGAAATCGGGAAGCACAGCGGCTGCACTGCCCAGGCCAAGCCCACAGAAACCCTGGGTCTGGGGCAGCCCAGCTGTCGCCAAGGGCACTGCCTGCTGTTATGAGAAGGTGGCACCAAGCTTCACTGTCACCTGCCTACTGACAAGTGGACAGGGGCCGGAGCCCAGCCAGCCCTTGGCATCATCCTCAGAGGGAGCCAGGACTAAAGCACTGCCTGACCCCTGCCTTACTTGGCACTGTCCTGGGGACCCTGAAGGGCCTTTCAGGAGCTTTACCTCCCTCCAAGGCCTGGGAGGGGGTGCGGAGAGCTGGGGCCCCTGTGACACAGACACCTTCCTCTTTGGTCAGCAGCCTCACCCCATAGCTGGCCCATGTCCCACAGCACTGTGGACAGGACGGGTTGCAGGCCTGGAGAAGATAAGGGACCCAGGCCAGTGTGTACTGGTGCTTATTGTGGGGCAAACCCTTGGAAATCATTTCATCTGTTCCATTCATGCTGCCCTGGGAGATACTGGGAAACCGAGGCAGAGAGCTGCAGTCAGGTGCTGAAGGTGAGGAGGCCAGCAAGAAAATGAGCCGGAAGCCAGGTGCAGCCATGCCCCTCTGCCCGATCCTAGCTACTCAGGAAGCTGAGACAGGAGGACCGCAAATGTAAGACCAGCTGAGCAACTCAGGGAGATCCTGTCTGAAAATAGAATTTTTCTTCTTCTTCTTCTTCTTCTTCTTCTCCTTCTTCTTCTCCTTCTTCTTCTCCTTCTCCTTCTCCTTCTCCTTCTCCTTCTCCTTCTCCTTCTCCTTCTCCTTCTCCTTCTCCTTCTCCTTCTCCTTCTCCTTCTCCTTCT